CGGGCCGTCCCCTGGTGCTCCTACTCGTGCGGCCGGTACGGGTCGAGAACCTCCATGCGTGCCGCGACGCGGGGCAGCTGCGGCAGGGCGCACCACCCTTGTTCCCAGATCCACGGCCGCCTGCCGCCTGGGTTCACCGCCGGCAACAACATCATGAGTGGTGGGGGAGGAAGAGGGAGAGGGAGAGAGAGTGGTGGGGCGGATGGATAAGAGACGAGGGGGTGGATGCTTTCGCGACAAGGGGTAGTTTCTCCGGACAAAAAGAACAATGACATGGACAGACTCACTGTTCTAAGATTCGTGCTGAAAATCTGATGGCGAAGGAGGTGTTCGAACCGAGACTGAAAAATGCGGTATGTTCGGAACATATTGATTCCAAAAAATAAACCATTGATTTTTTCCATGGTTTAATTTTGGTACTAGGGCGTATCTTCATGCAAGACCTAAATCACCACAGTTGACCCACATGTTTATCTTATTTTATTACCTTGCTGACCTATTTATATAAATTATATAGACCATCGTCACCTAGACAAATTTACATGTGCCCATTCTCGCAAAAATAGTAAAAACGAATTTCTCACAACTTGATGCACGTTGTATCCACTCGTCTTTCTTCATATATTCCCATCAACCCACATTTCCAGGAAAATTCTTTTCCAAGCGTTCTTCTTTTCTCCAAAAAATTGCTTGTCCTTTTCTACTATCTTGATCCATGGTCTCCATGATAGATAGTCCCTTTTCGATGTTGTCCGCCAGCTTCCCAGGGCTCGCTCCATCAACGAGCGAACCCTCCACTCTTTCCCACCTTCGCCAGCACATCACAACTGCATGACCTAATAGTGCCCACATTTTATGTGATGCCATGGATGCCTCTCCCCTTTCACCACGGTAAGATGCCATCATAGGAGGCCTAGGACATGGTAGGGATGGCCAAAAAACTCATATCTTTTGTCCTTTTTTTGCAATACAGACATGAGTTGGTTGATTCAAAAATTTATGTGTTGGAGCTAGAAAGCTTCGCTCTAAGACCAAATTTGAACCATCACTTTTCTTTTTTGATGGAATGTCACGGTTTTAATTATGGCCTTCGTGTACTTCAAAAGTTCCTAGTCCATACATGAAACGCGTGTTTCAACTAGTGAAAGTTAGGTTTCCTTCTATTGAAACATATGGATCAATAACTTGAAACATTTTACTAGAAAGCAAGTTGAAACATTAAACATGTGTTAAGCAGCTCAATTTTTCCTGGATGGTAACTACTTTCAACAAAGTATTGTTTGTGTCCATCGATTGATGAGGATGTTACGTGTGCATCGATTGATGAGGATGTTGGGGTACCCAGAACACGGATTTTCTAAAGGCAACGACATATGGCGGAGCACAATCTGCGATTGAGTACTACATCGAGGTCTATATTGCTTTTTAAGCTTTTTTATCAATATGACCTTGGAAATTAGAAATAGTAAGTACAATGTGGGCCTTTGCGTGCACTCGCTCAATTTTCTTTAAGAAAAGTGTGCTTATGGCCGCCTGCATAACTCTGCAGATTCTCTCTCCCATACAAAAGGCATGCATTTTAATCCTTTCGTTGCAAAATAAGTGTCTGAACATTAGTACAACTTTGTACTACTAAAGTTTGTACAAAACCGGGACACTTATTTTGGGATGGAAGGACTATTTCTTTGTGGCAATTTAGATTGTTGAAAACCTCTGAACTAAAAGACTAATTTCTGATACAATTACATATTTGCATTCATTGCAACAA